ATATATCCCACATACAACTAAACGTAGAGCTAATGCAAAACCTTGGTTCAACAGCCAGTGTCAAACGGCTGTACAGAAAAAACACAGAGCATATAACCTTTGGAAACGACAACAAACCGCTCAAAACCACACAGAATTTATAGAAGCCAGAAATAGTTGCAAAATTACTATTGACTCCGCTAAAGAAACATACAATCAAAGAATAAAAAACAGGTTGCTGAATTGTCCAAGTAGTTCTAGGTCCTTTTGGTCTCTTGCAAAAGCTGTTGGATCTAACTTCACCAAGTCATCCATACCACCACTTACAGATAAAAATAATCACTTAGCCACAACATCAGAGGAAAACGCCAATATGCTGGCCCAAATGTTTTCCTCCAACTCCAACCTAACAGTGCCAAACGGAAAAACTCCACCGTTCATTGAAAGGGTTTCCCATAGTATGCCAGAGGTACCCTTTTGTCACAGAGAAATACGAAAATCCCTTAAAAAGCTAGATACAAACAAAGCAATGGGTCCGGATGGCATTCCCGCAATAGTACTCAAAAATTGCGCCAACGAACTCACCCCAACTTTCGCAAAATTATTCAATTTGTCTTACAGGCAAGGAGTATATCCATCATCATGGAAGTCTGCCGCAGTACAACCCATTCCAAAGAAAGGAAAAAAGACAGATCCGTTAAACTATAGACCAATTGCTCTACTTCCGGTGATATCAAAAGTAATGGAAAGAGTTGTGAACAATCACCTAACCAAGTACTTGGAAAAGTACAAAATTATCAACGATAAGCAATACGGATTTCGAAAATATAGGTCAACTGGCGATTTACTTACATACGTCACTCACTTATGGCAAAAAGCGATTGAGTTGCGGAGTGAAACAAGAACAATTGCCTTAGATATATCTAAAGCATTCGACAAAGTTTGGCATGAAAATCTGCTCAACAAGCTCAAAGCAATGGGATTATCGCCGAAACTTTGCACTTGGCTTGAAAGTTACCTAAAGGACAGATCCATTTATGTTGCACTGGATGGCCAGAACTCCAACTCTTACCAAATAAATGCTGGTGTGCCACAGGGAGCAATCCTTTCGCCAACTCTTTTTCTGATTTACATAAATGACCTCATAGATAAAACAGTAAATCCACTTTATTGCTTTGCAGACGATGGCAATGTAGTCTCCTCACTCATACCACCCACAGGTCTTTCCGCACGTGAATTCCATCATCTTAGACTAACTCAAATATCGCAGATAAATAACGACCTGGAGATAATAGAGGACTGGGGTAACAAAAACCTTGTACAGTTCAACGCGCAGAAAACCCAAGCAGCTCTGTTTTCAAAAAAGACCAGCACCGGTGAGCAAAACATGATGCTATCTGGAAGTGCTGTCACATTACAGAGTCAGTTGAACATCTTGGGGGTTACTGCAGAGACCAACATGTCTTGGCACAGTCACGTGGCAGATATTGCTAAAAGGGCGTCCCAAAAGCTTGGGGTGCTATTTCGTACAAGACATCTGTACACACCAAGCCAATTGCTGACACTCTACAAAGCCCAGATTCGACCAACTATGGAGTACTGCTCACATATATGGAGTGCAGCACCCAAACATACCTTAATGCTTTTGAACACCGTGCAAAAACGAGCTATCAAGCTGATCAATGACCCCGCACTTACTCGTAACTTGGATGGTCTCGAACATCGCAGATCTGTGGGCGATTTATCTCTCTTCTACAGGTACTATCACGGAAAATGCTCTGAAGAGTTGGCACGTATGATTCCACCGAGAGTAGCGCCTACCAGGCGAACCCGTCAAACAGACGGTAACCATGAATTTACTGTCAAACTAGAGGCACCAAGAACCTCATTATATCAGAATTCATATCTCTGGAGAACAGCATCGCTGTGGAATAAACTCCCTGCGACGGTTTTCCCTGCAGGTTACAACCTGAACCGTTTCAAGACCAACATACACCGACATTTCCGCGCACTTGCCGCTTCTCGAGCGTGATAGGACATTTCCTTGCGAGTGCGCATATCAGTAAAAAAAAAAAAAAAAAATGTTACACCTGCAGTTCAGAAAATCTGAATATGAGACTATTGCTTATACATAAAAGATGACTTTTGCTTATACATCAAAGATGACGTGTATTAAGTGCTTTTTGTAGATGACGACCTAATTACCGGACCTGATATAGAAGTTGAGAAACTAGTAGGTACAGAACTTACATAACGAGTTCAAAGTTAAGAACTTGACAGAAATGAAAATAACAAAAACCGATGATGGACTAAAAATAACACAAACAAAGATTATTTTAAGAGTACTAAAAGACTTTAATATGACAGCAACCATTAGCCATAGCAACACCAATAAAACAAAATTTTCAAATTGAAGAAGATGAGCAAGTCTTAGAAAATGTTCCCTACAGAAGGCATGCTACTTTATGTTTCTGTCTATAGTCAGTAGACCAGATATTGCTTACAGTGAAGGTATCTTATTAAAGCCGATACTTAGACAAGCCGATAATGCAGTTATGGGGACAACTGAAAACACAATTTCACGTTACATTAGTGGAACACAAGATTATGGAATGAAATTCAGAAAAGGACACAGTGGTTTAGAGGGAATGTGTGATGCAGACAGGGGTGGTGATAAGCTAACTAGGAAGAGTATCAGTAATTTTGTTAATTTTCATTATGGAAGTGTAATTGCATGGCACTCCAGGAAGCAAAACTGTGTTCCCTATCGCCAATGAAGGCAGAGTATGTGGCTGCAGGTGTGGCAGCACAAGAGCTGGTAAACTTGAAAGGCATTCCATCAGAATTTGGTGAGTTCAATCCAATCACGTTGAAAATAGACCAATCTCAGTGCAATTTCTTTAATTAAGTATTTTGAGAACTCTAAACGCAGTAAGTACATAGAAATAAAATATCATTTTATTAAAGATTTGTATTTTGAAAGGGAAGTTATACCTAAATATGTATCATCAAATGAAAATTGTTCTGATATTTTTACTAAGGCGTTAGGGAAGAAAAAATATCAAATGTTTAGAGGTATGTAGCTTACTTAGCAAATAAGCAGAGAAAATGGAGAAAAGGAAGAATTTTTTTTTGAAGGATAAGAAAATCCTCAAAACCAGCACGATTCTAGATTTTTTTAGTGAATTTTAATCAACTGTAATAGAAATCCCTTGAGGGTTGGCAAAGCTTTTTCAACTTTTTCAATTTTTTCCTTTTTGGATTGTATAATTTTTCAAGTCTAAGTTCTTTTTACTTGTATTGTCCATTTGATAGTTTTTTTTATTGAGTTTCGATTCTCGAATCATAAGAAATAGGTAATTCCATGCATTTGTCACTCTCAAGTTCACCTGGATGCCTTATGTGTAAACCCTAATCGAGTAGGTTAACTAATAATTAATTTGTTGTTTGTAATGTATTATGACGTAACATCCTCTAATTATACTTAAAATCGATCCTGAAGATGGCCTGCAATTAGGTCGAAAGTGCTCAATTTTTGAAAAAATAACTCCATTAAAAACATGACTCATTTGGTGCACATCCTGCACTACTTCTTTAGAACAATTGAATATAGAAAAAAAAGGCATAGCTTGACAGATATTGAGAGTAAAAAGCAAATTAGAATTTTGGTTTTGGGTCTCTCAACGATACAAACGTGTTAATTATAGACTGATTACGATAATTATAAAGATAAGGTAAACAAAAAAGAATACATGATAATTGAAGAAATAGGTACAGTAGCGTTCAAAGAAAAAAAAATGTATTTGTGTCCGACTTTTTGAACTCCGCCTACAATGCACGATATCATTAATCATTAGATCTTAGTTCAGTCAGAGTCACCTCTGGGTTGGTTTTAACTCCAAAATAAACGTGTGCAGCTGATGCAATGTTAACCCTGGAATTATGCTTAACCCGGGGGTGACAGTTGTGGAATTAAAAAATTTGCCACTCTTTTTGTTAATTACCTACATCAGGTTTGGCTAACTTGACGTCAAGTTAGCCACTTAAATAAAATGGCGGAAGCAAGTGTGTGAAAATTTGGTATCTTTCTCCAGTAGATAATTAGTTGTGAAAACATTTTACGCTTTATTTGCTGCTAAAAAAAGAAGTCACACGCCTTCACCAAAATAAATGGCGGTAAACTCGATATTAAATGTCAAATGGTCCATCTCAAGATATATCTAGGATATCTCTCTATTCGTATTTTTAGGAAAAATTATATGTATTTAAGTTTCTATTTTTTTGTATTTCATTGCAGGTTTTGTAGTAACTTTACGTGCATTCTTTTTACATTTCGGTAGTGAATGTTGGTTTACTCATAAATAAGATATGTGATAATTCACAAAACATTCATTACAATCTTGCTTAGAAAAAAGTTGATGCATCTATTTTTCTTTTAAATGGGTCTGTCAAAGTTGCACCCCTTTCTAGACGCTATAGTCGATTATAAATGTTTCATACACATTTGGTAATTATTGATAACCTACCTACCTGGAATAATGAGGGTGATGCATCTTATATTTGGGGATAAAATTTTGATCCCTGACTTTGAAAAAACTCTTTAAGTTTCTTGTTTTTAAATTAAACCCACAAATAATTTTAAAAATGTGGTCCTTCAACAACTCTTGGCTGATTTTTCTACTATATTTTCAATTAATTTTATTACGACAGTAACATGTCAGGTAGGTACACTAACACTGTAACTTTGTCAGACTCCCGAAGCCAAAGTGTAATGTCTGTAATGAAACATGTTAGTGTTATAATGAAATAAAGTGAAAATATAGTAAGATCATTTCTGCTCTTTCCCAACCATGAATTTCAATTTTCACCAAGTATCGGCCCAATCAATTAAAAAAAAATTACCAACTCACTGACTGTTCAAAAGTTTTTGTATGCTGTATGGGAATTTGATTTGTTATGTTATAACACAGATCTTAATTTAAAAAAAAAAAAAATCTACAAACTAATGAACAGCTTATTACCTTTTGAGCTTTACACATGACAACCAAACTCTGCACATCGTGACTGGTATGTCTAGAATCCATGAGACACAAAGCACAAACACTCATTTTGCAAACCATACAGTACATGTTTAATGTCTCTTCCGGATGATCGGGACATTTCCCATCTTTCGATTTATTCGCGGTGATACCTCCGCGTTTCGGTTCAGTAAGAACGTGTTTGGCCAAAGGTCCTCTGGCAGGATGGCAGGATTCCTTGCAAGAGTCGCAATAAAGTACTTCGCATTGTTCGCACATCACGGTCGCATCTTTGGCCGGTTCCTGTTCGCATAACTGACATTTGAGGGTAAGATTACGCAGTTCGCCGTACCGGTCAACGACGCTTTGCATAACGCGGTACTTGGGTAAGTTGTGTGCACCGTTATCGTCGAAGTAAACTACCTTATGACAAATTGGACAGGCTAGCGATAGGGCACTAGGAAATAGTACTCCGTTCGGTGTTCCTACGTAGGAGTTGGGTCTTGAAGTACAAACAACCCCGCTATCCGTTTCGCTCAGGATGGACAATTTGTCGGACTCTTGGTAGTCTCCGGAAGAACCGGAGGCCACACTTTCCGCGTTTTCGGTAATAACAACATTTACGTTATTCGCGGAGGAGGCGGCATTATGATTGGCGGGCTGTTGCAAATTAAGGGCGCAGTGCAGACAAATGCCGTGATAGCACGGCAACAGGACCGGATTGTTATAAAACTGTTTACAAGCGAAGCAGCGCAGCTCCTCTTCCATCGTAAAATGCGGACAAAACTCAACTGACATCGCGCGCTCCGCGTTTTGTTTGAAAACAGTGCGGCGGCAGGCGCCCGTTTCGGCTCGGAAACTCGCGACAATGGGCGAAGGCGCCGAACGGCTGATGGCCCAACAGGGGGTTGGATGCAACGCACCGGTTTCCCCTATATATTTTCGGAACCCCGTCATCTCGCGTCGTGTTTTACCTGTATTTTAACTACACATAGGCGTCCGGATGGTTTTATTGCATGGAATTGGAAAAATTAATAATTAGATAGGTATTTGCCATTACAAGATTTTATGTTATTTTTTGAAAAATTTTTAATAAATAATAAATGACCCATTGTTCAAAGTCGTTTGATAAACAAAAATGGAGGTTATTCGGAATTTACCAGTGGAAACTACAATAACCGACCAAACAAACATTTAAATTTAATAATTTAAATTTATAATTTTGGTTCGTTCTTTGGGTAAGAATAGCCAATTCGTTCAATTTTTGACACCAACGTCATCTTCATCATGGTGGCACTTTGGCCCGGTCGTACATAAATAAATTTATTTGTATTCAAATTTTAACTGTTAGGAAGACTAATTAGGTAAATTATCTATTAGAAACTAACTTTTATTTCTTGTGGAGTTTTGACATCTGCAGACATCAAATTTGTCTCTAGTTACCTTCCCCTTACCTATAATATCTACTAGTAAGTACTAAGTACATCTCCATTTCTATACAAATACAAACTCAAGTGAATAACACAAAATAATACATACCTAATGAATATTATTTTACAGGTGAGGTTAACGTTTTAACTATCTTCTATTGCTTCTATAATTTTTCCATCGGTCGTTGCAGCCTTATATGATCGAGGAGCCACTACATTCTTGAGAATACATTTAGCATACGCTCTTGGTTGTTTGAAATCAACACTCTATCCCGCTTCTCGTATTGGTCAACACTTCGCGCTCTATGTTTTATTGTCTCTCCTCTTCCTTTTTATTATCGTTAACCGTTATAACTGGCAAATTTGATTACAAGTGTATGATTTCTATTTGTTCTCGTGAATTTTTAACCATCAGAAGGTTGATTTGAACAAATCCACCAAGGTAAACTAGGAATTACCAAATTTAAAATCAGTTCAGTAAGAGGTTTCTTCAAAACATATTTCACAGTTTTCAACAAGATCTTCAATTTGATAAGTTATTCCTGCTCACCAAATAATTTTTTTGTTTTGTCCTTGCAATATATTTTGTAATTCCTACATATCCTGACAATAGGAATTACACCAGTCAAGGTTTTGTTTCGAAGGAAGTCTCGTTAAACCTGGAGTTGGTGTTCGGGTCATCACTAGATGTTGCCGTCATGAAAGTCGAAGACTATGCTAATCATTTGCGGGAAAGCTTGACATTCATAAAAAAGGAAATTGGTCGATTGTAACAAAACCAGTTTTCGTCATGTAATAATCTACTCTACCCATACTATCCCTCATATTAAGGGTAGAACATTTGATATGCGGGTGAACTTATAGTCTAGGAGGCAGTGACGATTTTCGGTACTTATTTTCCCAGTCACGAAACATGGATAGAATTGTAGGGTTAGTAATTCTAAGCAAAATTCATATATTTTTAGGGGGGGTTTTCCGATGGGTTGAAGCGCAAAATGCGTTAGAGCTTACCAATGCACGGCCCTTTTTTTTCCAGTGATAAAACTAAGTGAACTAATCAGAAGTATACTGAAGTTACGTAAAAAAATGCTCCGGCTAATCTGTGAGTATATATGGATAATATGTGTGGCAAGTGAAAAATTGAAGATCCGAAAAACTTCAGCCAGACTAACTTTCCACTATCTGAGATAAGCCAAATTGCTATGTTCATATACTTTATGTTCTATTGTAGTGGATGTGAAATATTTATGACTGGGAAAATAAGTGTACTTGTATTTTTCATTGATCTAGTGAACCCATCCGAAAATTTTTGCAAAACTCAAATATTCTTGTTTTGTATCACAAGAGAACAAACTATTTGATATACACCAACTGGGAAAATAAGTGCTAAAAAATTTCACTGCCTCCCGGACTATTAATGTAGATGTTCTAAATCCATAATTTAAAACTACAAAAAGCAATTTCCACAGGCATCGTTGTTATTGATCGGTTTTTTGCGATAACCAAGAAGGACAGAGTAAGTTGTTAGTTTTTTCTGTGCCTTGTTAAAAGTTGGGATTAGGGGAGAGTCGGTGAATTGTGCGCACCTAAGGAAAAAGAAAGATATTTTCTAAAATATGGCTCATGGAGCTCTGAAATTTGGCATAGATATTCTTCTGTGTTATAGCTGACAGCCCAAATCAACCAAAGATCACAAAGAAAATATTCTGAGCCTAGGGACAAAATTAGATAAAAACTGACACTGCGCACGATTATCCACCCTATGCGGTTAATGGTGCGCACTAGTCAGGGCAATTGTGCGCAACAGAAAACTATTGAAAACTATCGGATATAAAGGGTGGATTAAAAACAAGTGAAACAAAGTACATAATACGTTTATTGCAAACATAATATTAAACTAAATTATTGCATAAAAACCATAACTAGTGGTCGCAAAAGTCGCAGATGTAACATTCGGGGGAGTCTACCCCAATGCAAAGCTCATGGACCCATTTGCCGCAGATCGCACACTGAAACCAGTATTCGTCTTTCTTGCTCCAGTCGTCGCAAACCAAACATCTGTCTCCGAGATTGACCTCCGTGTCATCAAGTTCATCATCATCACATAACTGGCTGTCTGAGACTTCTTCTTCAGATTCACTTTCCTCAAAAACCTTCCTTTTAACGGTCTTATTATTTTTAGCGGGATGTTTTGCACTCGCTTTACCTTTTTTTGACGGTTTTTGTTCTAATTTTTTTTCCAAATTTGCTTGCCTATCTTTTTTTTTGACTCGCAGAGGACGGATAATTGTGCGCGATGCGCACAATTAGCCAACATGGACCTAATTGTAATAAAAATTCACAAAAATAAAATTGTACGTTATTTACCTTGGAAAAATTTCTCCAGTAATAGTAGGAACCCCACTGATTATTTTGGTGAAATTTCCGAAACAGGAATGTTCTTATTTTCAAAGTTATCGCTTGTTTTCACCCGCTTAAATTTTAATATAAACAGTCGGATAAACCGCCAAACACGATCACCGATATGTTTAAGCAGCAAATCGCATGAAAGTCAGCGTTACTTTCAAAGACATCTATGAGACGGCGCCACGTGTACGAATTTGATCAAATAATAGGCGTTTTCGTATGGTATTATGGTGCGCACCATTAGCCGCTGCGCACGTTTACCCGACTTCCCCCTACCTCAATAATTCTTCCCATGATTTTGTTATCATAGTTTTCTGTTGTGCCTTTGTTAAAGGATAATCAAAACCCTCTCCCCAGAGTTTGTTTAACAAGCATTGGATTTATATTTGTATGTTGTATGTAGTAACCATACTTCTGTTCTCACATAATCTGATAATCAATGTGTTTATAAGAACTGTAAGTATAATAGTAGTGTTTTAGTGTTTGTTCAAAGAATTCACCCACAGGACTTTAGTGTTTTGTCGCAGAAGTAGCACTGGAAGGCAAAGATATTCAATATACCTTTAATAATCACTAGACAACAGGTTGTATTATTTTGTCACTAACCTGAAAATAAATTGTTCAAAAGAATAATTATGGGTGTAGAAGCAAGGACAACTTTAGCTTCTTCTACAGTAGATATAATTGCCTTTTTTCCTACGATACACAGCTCGTCGTTAACGCTTTGCTGCTACACCACTGGTTTAAAAGCCGATGAAGGTCTTCATCCGAACGCAAGGTATTCGACCATCGATATAAGGCTGAGTTTTATTCCGCGGGCTTTAGAAAGGGGGCCAATAAAAAATCAGTAGCATAGGTTGTAATTTGATTTGACTGGAGTAGTAAAGTGACTAATCATCATTACATTGTGTTATATAATGCAATAAAAAGAAGTGATGTCGTACGATTTCATTAATGAACTATAATTATTTATTTTTTTTCAAGGAAGTTAATTGTGTTTGTTTGGATTGCAGGCTTTATTCTTTGCATAATATAATAAGAAGTATATTTACCACAAACAATATTGGCATTTCAAATTATAGTTGAATTTTAGAATATACTTACTGAAAAGTTATATTATGTTAAGACGCATTTTTTCTGCGCCAGGCAACTCTGCGATAATATATAAGTGGTCCTCACGATCTTACTAAAAAAAAAAGGTATAGGTACCGTCAAACGGGGTTAAGTGAATCAAAAACTGCGGTTTTTTGTTAATATCTTTGTAGCTATCGAAACCAAAGATAATGTATATTCGAGCATCCTTTCCAAAGGATTCAACAAAATACTGGCCCTTTCGAGTATGGGAATTCCCATTTTTTTGGATCAAAGTTTGATTCACTCAACTCACCACTGTGGGGTAAAGTGAATCGCCTGTTCAATTTGTACAAACTTACGATCTATTCATTTTAGACTAATAGTGCGTAGCGTAAAGTAAATCATTTCAGAAGGTTTAAAGAAGTTTTGCGCCAGGTTCTGGAAATTTTACTGTAGGTATCATTTCATAGCGTAGGAGCCAATATGTTATCAATACGTTAAGTAAAACACTCTATTTTCTGTAAACAAGTGTTTTTGAAATAAAATTTGGAAATATAATATGTATTGTCTTATCCATTTTAATTGAATAATATGGTTTCACCTAATGAAGGAATTATTGTGATTCTTCTTATAATTTAGGGATCATATGCGACTTATGCCAATCCCGATTCGGGACCTATATCCAGTCCCGACATAACTATTGATAACGTCATTTTTTGACGTTATTCGGGACTGGAGATGGATCCCGAGTCGGGACTCTAGTCACAGCGGTAATTTAATTCTATGACAAATTGTCAACAGGTTGCCAATTTTAATAAGCATTAAAATGCTAATAACTTTCTGAAGAATGCCACCAGATCTTTTCAATTATTTTTATGGGTTTCCTTGAAGGGTCCTCCACCTTGTAGTGAAGAGCTTTTAAGCTATTTTCCGGACACCCTGTATAGGGTGGATAAATAATCTTAGGTTAAGGGTTAAGTGGAGTAATCGATACAGCTTTTTAATACATTGCAAAGTGAAACAAAGGAAAAAAAA